GAATACAAAGGGTTAGGGATATAGTTGAAAAAAAAAATCTTAGAGTGTAAAATGATACTGATACTTACAGGTATCTGAATGCAGACAAGTATTTTAGCGCTTGCCTGGCAAGCACAAGGTCGTGAGTTCGGTTCTCGGTATATTTAAAAAAAAAAAAAAAAAAAAAAAAAATTTGTTGTCTCTCAAAAACTCAAGTGACTCTGAATTTGAAATTTGAAACAATTTGAGCACATTATATACTCCTTGGAAAAACCTGTATATATCCATAGTTATTTAAAGAAAAATAGTTTCATATTTTCCTAGGAAAAATAATGACATTATGGGTATAGATTTTTGTGAATTGATTGAATTTTTATGCAATTTTAATGAACTTTCTAGTTTATTAAAATTAAGTCATATTCCTTTACTTAACATAGATGAGATCTATGTGTGCCATTTCTCTTTAGGTAAAGCACATAGTTGTCCTGGCAAAGTGAATCTCTTCATGTGCTGAGTGACTGCCTTTGCTTTTTTGCTTTTACAGATTGCAAAAGAAAACTCCAGCCAAGTCCCAAAGGAAAGTGGCACCCGTGAAGCAGAGAGGGTCCAGGCCTGCACCTAAAGTCCCAGCTGCCCAGCGGGGGAGGGCTAGGCCCCTGCCCAAGAAAGCCCCTCCCAAGGCCAAAACGCCTGCCAAGAAAGCCAGACCCTCACCCTCGGTCATCAAGAAACCTAGTGGTAGCTCCTCAAAGAAGCCTGTAGCCAGTGTGAGAAAGGAAGTGAAATTACCTGGCAAGGGTAAAACCACCATGAAGAAGTCTTTCAAAACAAAAAAGTAAATTTTATAGCAAGAAAGGGTATCATGATAAAATTCAAAATCTTATTTTATAAGGTCAGTGTGCATTTGTTTTTAGTTTTGACGCTTATAAAATTTCTTTTCTTCCTCCCATATGAACATTGTGGGGAGGGAATATAATAAACCAATTTAGGCATTTGTTAGCTTTAGGTGCTGTTTTTGGTGCCTACCCCTTCCCCAGTCATTTTAATTTCTGCTGTAATCTGGGACTCCCCTAAACTATATAATCTATACTTGTCTTTTTTGCCCTGCCTACCCCAACCTTTTTTTTTCTTTCTTTTCATGGTAAGCTTTGGTGCCTCCCTCTCCCACTGTTTCTCCCTTTCGCTCTGTGTCTCCCTGTCTGTCTCTCTCCTGGTTTTACCTAAACACTTGTAAAGATTTTTATATTTTTAGAACGCATCAAGAACAGGATGCTGGTCAGGTGCTGGAAGTGAAAAAGAGGCAGTGTAGCACTGACTGCATGGTAAAGCCTCCTCCCTGGAGACTTTAGTGATAGCTGTAATAATTAATCTTATTTATAAAGTTACTCCACTAACCCTCTTTCTCCAGCTATGAACAGAGACAACTTAGCTTTGGAAATAACCTGAAAACAGTGTGATCACATTGGTTTCTGAAGATGCACGACTCCTTTGGGCCACTTTTCACATTGACCAACTTGCAGGTATTGTTCACTGGCCCTGAACATTGCATTCCCTTCACAGCAAGCACAAGTTCTCTACACCACTTGGTTCTGACTGCAGGGGAAATACAGGAATATATTGAATTCAGTTTCCAGTGTCACTTCTGTTACCAAAAATCAAAACGTATAAAATCATCTTGATGAAATGTTTAAATATATTTTTTAATATTTGAAGCATGAGTTGTCACTTACTGTTTGCCTTTTTTATGAGGAAATGTTGGAGAGTTACAAATGTAGAAATGTTAAGTGGAAAAACATACAGTTTGCTTAAATAAAATAGATTCCAGATTCATCTGTGGATTTTTTTTCCCCTTCCTTTCTTTCCATAGCACTTTTGATACCAAGCAATTGGCTTCCTTTTTGAGATATTTTAAATAAAAAGAAAAAGAAAAGCAAATGAAGCCCTACTACCTAACCCTTTTTTATTGGTATTTGTTTTAGTATTGTGAAGTTGTGTTAAAATAGTATTAGCTTTCTTCTTGAGAAACATCAATTTTTGGTTATCGTTTCTCTTCCCTGTGGCACTTGACATTTTAATTGTCTTAATTAAACTCTTCGGCGTGCATCTTCTGGGCCAGTGAGGGCTGCCGGAGACAAAAGGTGTTTGTTTTATATTCATTCCACTTGCATCGTCTGCTGGGATCCCATCTGCAGCTTGAGTGTGGCTGAGAAATGGACTTGAGAAGATTGGCTTGAATTAGATCATAATCATGTGTGATCCCATCATGTACTCATTGGAATTTGTGTTGCATGTAAGGCAATCTTTC